GACCTAGCTGTAAAACCATCTCTGATTGGTCCACCAAAAGGAGGGGCTACCTCCCAGGAGTGCTGCCCAAACCAGCTATCATTTCACTACCAACAGTTGGTGAGGTAGGATGTTTCGCTCTCCATGTGTTCAGTAACACAGACACTCTATTCTTTACCAACAGCTCTCCTTATTCAATCCCCTTTTTTCAATAAACCTTACCCAAATGTATCTCACTCTAATCTTCCAATGTATCACATTTTCTATTCTTTTACAGCATACCATCATCTCTTTTCTTTAATAATCTGCCCTTTAACAGCTCTCCCTACTCAATCACCTTTTTTCAATAAACCTTACCCAAACTTTAAACTGCTCTCAGTGTATCCACGCACAACACTTCCCCCATTCAAAAGTGCACAATTTTTTTTCAAAATGGCCGACGGCGCCAAACTTCGGTGCCAACGGAAACCGGGTGGGAAGGTGGGACAAAAGCCCCAAATGGGGCATGGAAACCTGTCAAAAATGCATGGTGATGAGTACTATCGAGGCCTTTACTACTGAGGTAGGATAAGAGGCTACAATAGGGAAAGAACAAGTTAAAAATTACTTAGACAAGTTAGATGTCTTCAAGTCACTAGGACCTGATGAAATACTTCATAGAATACTCAAGGAGCTGACTGAGGCGGTATCTGAGCCATCAGTGTTAATCTTTGAAAAGTCATGGAAGATGGAAGAGATTCCAGAGGACTGGAAAAGGGCAAATATAGTGCCCATCTATAAAAAGGGAAACAAGGATAACCTGGGGAATTACATTCTAGTCAGATTAACTTCAGTACCTTGAAAGATAAGGGAGTAAATAATTAAGCAATTTGCAAACACCTAGAAGATAATAGGGTAACAAACAACACTCAACATGGATTTATCAAACCAACCTAATAGCTTTCTTTGACAGGATAACAAACTTTGTGAATGGGGGGGGAAGCAGTAGATGTGGTACATCTTGACTTTAGTAATGCTTTTGATACTGTCTCACATGACCTCAAACAAACCAGGAAAATACCACCTAGATGGAGCTACTATAAGGTGGGTGCATAACTGGTTGGAAAACCATTCCCAGAGAGTAGTTATCAGTGGTTCAGAGTCAAGCTGGAAGGGCACATTGAGTGGAGTCCTGAAGGGATTAGCTCTGGGTCCAGTTCTGTTCAATATCTTCATCAATGATTTAGATAATGGGGTGGAGAGTACACGTACAATGTTTGTTGGGGATACCCAGCTGGGAGGGGCTGCAAGTGCTTTGGAGGATAGGATTAAAATTCAAAATAATCTGGACGAACTGGAGAAATGATCTGAAGTAAATAGGATGAAATTCAATAAGGACAAATGCAAAATACTCCATTTAGAAAGGAGCAATCAGTTGCACAGATACAAAATGGGAAATGACTGCCTTGGAAGGAGTACTACAGAAAGGAATCTGGGGATTATAGTGGATCACAAGCTAAATATGAGTCAACAGTGCAACACTGTAAAAAAAGCAAACATCATTCTGGGATGTATTAGCAGGAGTGTTTGTTGTAAGCAAGACATAAGAAGTAATTCTTCTGCTCTACTCCATGCAGATTAGGCCTCAACTGTAGTATTGTGCCCAGTTCTGGGAGCCACATTTCAGGAAAGATGTCTACAAATTGGAGAAAGCCCATAGAAGAGCAAAAAAAATAATTAAAGTTCTAGAAAACATGATCTATAAAGGGAAGATTGAAAAAATTGGGTTTTTTTAGTCTGGAGAAGAGAAGATTGAGAGGGGACATAAGTTTTCAAGTACATAAAAGGTTGTTACAAAGAGGAGTGAGAAAAATTATTCTTCATAACCTCTGAGGACAGGACAAGAAGCAATGGACTTAAATTGCAGTAAGTGCAGTTTAAGTTGGACATAGTGAAAAATTTCCTTGCTATCAGGGTGGTTAACCACTGCAATAAATTGACCAGGGAGGTTGTGGAATCTCCATCATTGGAGATTTTTAAGAGCAAGTGAGACAAACACCTCCCAGGGATGGTGTAGATAATACGTAGGGCTTGTCTACACTGGCAATTTACAACGCTGCAACTTTCTCATTCAGGAATGTGAAAAAATACCCCCGAGCGCAGCAATTTTCAGCGCTGTAAAGCGCCAGTGTAGACAGTGCACCAGTGCTGGGAGCCGCACTCCCCGCGCTGGGAGCCACACTCCTCGTGGAGGTGGGGTTTTTTGGAGTTCTGGGAGAGCTCTCTCCCAGTGCTCTGCCGCGACCACACAAGGCCCATTAAAGCGCTGCTTGGCAGTACTTTAGTGTTGCCAGTGTAGACAAGCTCTTAGTCCTGTCATGAGTGGAGAGGACTTGACTAGAACTCTCAAGGTCCCTTCCAGTCCTATGATTTTAAAAACACTTATCACCCGTCGGTGAACACTTTTCACAAAGCAATCACTCTGTATCTGGCCTCCCAGTCCTCATCCTCAAAGGAAACCTGCACATCACCTTCAAAAAATGAACCTGGGATCTTAAATTCATAACTTTGCTGGACACTAAAAAACAGGTTTTAACAGGGATACTGATTATATGGCTCATTATAACAATTTAACACACCCTCATTGCCTCTGCTAACCCTCTATTGTCCTACAACTGAAGGGGTGTTAACTGCCCATTTCATTTTAAGTGATCTTCTATAACAGGTATGCACCCCTTCTGCTTAACAATTTGTCCCATCTTTTATTTCGCTTGGACACTCTGGTTACTTTACCTAGACCTGAGGAAGAACTCTGTGAAGCTCGGAAACTTGTCCCTTCCACCAACAGAAGTTGGTCCAATAAAAATTATTACCCCAACTACCTTGCATCTCTTCTGTCTCCATTGTTATTCAATATCAGCATTGCTGGTTGAGGGGTAAGCTTGAAGCGGCATCTGTCAGTGGCATTGAGGTGATTGTCATTTTACTTTGAGACCTCGAATATGACAATGGCATTGCCATGTTGGCTCAATATGGTGAATCAGTACAGCTGATGGCTGATCTGGTCAGGCAAGAAGCAGCGCACATTGGTCTGATTATTAATTCAGATACAATTACCTTCAAGCAGGCTCCAAATCCAGATTATAATCAGCTTACTATTAACTTGTTTGGATGGGAGATGGAGCAGGTGACAACTGTCAACTACTTGGAAAGCATCATAGACAATGATTGAGGATGTTTGAAAAATATAGATGGTTGTTGTGACGAAGTGGGACTGTTCTTAATGTTTCCTCTGAATATTGTAGGGGTGCCTCAGTTTCCCCTATGCATTTCTTAAGTCTCTAGGTGGTGGGATAAGGGGGTGTAAATGTTGCAGAGCAAAGGGCCAGTGTACATAAATGGCCTACACTCTGTCTCCTGGCAACTGATGGCCTGGGCCCTTCCCCCCTTCAAGGTGATAGCTAAAGCGTTGGAGAACAAAGGAATCAGGGGACCTCCTGGCCTCGGAAAGGGACAAAGCCCAGAGGAGGAGGGGGTGGAGAGTGAGTCAGTTTGGGGCTTGCTGGGGACAGGGAGTGAAGTGCAGACATGGTTGTCCAGCGCACTGCCCACAAAATGGACCCGGCTGAGGGGTCCTGTTCTCTGTACCTACAAGCTCTGTTTTAGACCATGTTCCTGTTGTCTAATAAACCTCGTTTTACTGGCTGGCTGAGAGTCAAGTCTGACTGTGAAGTTGGGGTGCAGGACCCTCTGGCTTCCCCAGGAGCCCTGCCTGGGCGGACTCGCTGTGGGACGCGCACGGAGAGGCAGAGGATGCTGAATGCTCCGAGGTCAGACCCAGGAAGGTGGAAGCTGTGTGAGCTTCTTGCCCTGAAGACAGTCTGCTCACAGAGAGGAGACTTCACCAGAGTCCTGACTGGCTTCATAGGGAGCAGTTCCAGAGCATCGCCCAGGGACTCCATGACCGTTGTATAGCAGTAACTGACACTATGTTTTGAGCTCTTCAGAGGCCTTTGTGGAAACTTTATGACAGCAAGCTTACCAGAAAGCTGAATATTTATACAAACAGTTATATAATCTTTACTTCATGGCAATAAAATGTGGGTGCTGAAGAAGGCTGAAGAGCAGGGAACTGATGTTTTTGAACATAAGAACGGCCATACTGGGTCAGACTAAAGATCCATTAACCCAGTATCCTGCTTCTGACAGTGGCCAATGCCAGGTGCCCCAGAGGTAATGAACAGAACAGGTAATCAAGTGATCCATTCCCTGTTGCCCACTCCCAGCATCTGGCAAACAGAAGCTAGGGACACCATTCCTGCCCATCCCAGGTAATAGACATCGATGGAGTTATCCTCCATGAACGTTATCTAGTTCATTTTTGAACCCTTTTATAGTCTTGGCCTTCATAACATCCTCTGGCAAGGAATTCCACAGGTTGACTATGCATCTTGATTCTGCTTGTCTTCATCAGCTATTTCATGTAAGTGGCAGGAGAAGATTAGCAATGAGGATATTCATGGCTGAACTCAGGAGCCACCTCTATCAGCACTGGTTTGGTTTTGAAAGCTTTCTTGGATGGAAGAATAACAAATTACAAAGCATGTTTACTAAAGAATGCTGCTACATGGTCACTGATCATGTGGTCACCAAAAGCTTTGGTGGCATGATAAGATCGCCAGTGATGAACATATTGGCCTCCTTGCCTTGAAAATGATGAACATGATGTTTGCAGGTCATCACAATGTTCGCTTTGCTTGTTTATTATATCTCTTTCTCCCAACCCATTGTCTGTCTTGTCTATTTAAACTATAAGCTCTTTGAGGCAGGAACTGTCTCTTACTCTATGTTTGTACATTATAATAATGGGGCTGAGATACAGTTGGGGCCACTAAGCAGTATAGTGATACAAATAATACACAATAATTGCAAATCTAAGCTGTGTAGAATAAATATAGAAATACATATGTAGTACTAAAGAAAAAATGTTCTGAATCTGGACATAGCATTCAATTTTACAAGAAGCTACTTTTGCTACTCACCATTTGATGCTGTGAAATCAATAGCCACTGTGAAATTGATTTGGGTTCTGTCAAACAAGCAGATAGGAATCTTGTTAATAATACCATTGATAATTGGAAAAAATATGCAAGGGAGGTAACATACCTTTTAATGGACTAATATACATGTTACAATGTATTAATTTTCTGGTCAAAAGGTATCACTGCAAAATTCAGGTTAAAATCATTGTGCATTATTTTGTCTTTTATACAGTATCATCAATGAAACATCAATTCTTGAGGTTACTACTCTTTGAAACCTAATTTTCTCTTACCTGTAAACTACATTTGTGAAAGAGTCTCTCTTCTCCCTTTAAATATGTAGAAGCGTTATGTAACTGGATGGGTTTTCAGTGGTCCCATCTTGGAGAAACCTGTCCACTTCACCAAAGCTTCAGTTCAAATACTTTACCAATTAATTTTATAGCAATAACTTCATACACGATACACTATATAGGACATGCCTGGCTTTCATTTATTTTTGTCCCACCTCCCTCCCTTGGCTTTCCCCTCCCCCCTGCCTTCAAATACCAGACAAATTGGTTGAAACACAACATGTTGGGGAAGAATCAACACGGCTTTTGTAAAGGGTAATCACGCCTAACCAATTATTAGAATTCCTTGAGGATTTTAACAAGCATGTGAACAAAGGGTGTGATCTAGTGGATATGCTGTACTTGGACTTTCACAAAGCCTTTCACAAGGTCCCACACCAAAGTTTTCTACGCAATATAAGCTGTCATGGGATAAGTGGGAAGGTCCTATCATGGATTGGTAATGGTTAAAAAATAGGAAATGAAGAGTAGGAATAAATGGTCAGTTTTCAGAGAGCAGTGAGGTAGGTAGTGGGGTCCCCAATGATCTATACACGACCAGTGCTGTTCAAGAAATGATCTGGAAAAGGGGGTAAACAGTAACGTGACAAAGTTGGCAGATGATATAAAATTACTCAAGATACTTAAGCCCAAAGCTGACTGCAGAGAGTTACAAAGGGACCTCACAAAACAGGGTGACCGGACAACAAAATGGCAGATGAAATTCAGTGTTGATAAGTGCAAAGTAATGCACATTAGAAAACATAATCCCAACTATACATACAAAGTGATGGGGTCTAAGTTAACTGTAACCATTCAAGAAAGATCTTGGAGTCATCATGGATAGTTCTCTGAAAACATCTGTTCAATGTGCAGCAGCAGTCGGAAAAGCCAACAGAATGTTAGGAGCCATTAGGAAAGGGATAGCTAATAAGACAGAAAATATAATAATGTCCCCATATAAATCTATGGTATACCCACACCTGGAATACTGCATGTAGTTCTGGTTGCCCCATCTCCCAAAGATGTATCAGAATTTGAAAAAGTACAGAGAAGGGCAACAAAAATTGATTAGGGGCCTGGAACAGCTTAATATGAGGAGAATTAAAAAGACGAACTATTCAGCTTAGAAAAGAGGCGACTAAGGATGGATATGAGAGACGTCTATGAAATCGTGAATGGTATGAAGAACAAAGTGAATAGGGAACTGTTATTTACCCCTTCCCATAACATGAGAACTAGGGGTCACCAAATGAAATTAATAGAAAGCAGTTTTAAAACAAACATAAGAAAGTATGTCTTCACACAATGTAACGTCAACCTGTGGCACTCGTTGCCAGGGGATGTTGTGAAAGCCAAAAGCATAACTGGGTTCAAAAAAGAGTTAGATAAGTTCATGGAGGATAGTTCCATCAGCAGCTATTAGCCAAGATGGTGAGGGACACAACCTCATGCTCTAGGTGTCCCTAAATCTCTGCCAGAAGCTGGGACTGGACAACAGGGGATGGATCACTTGTTAATTGTCCTGTTTTGTTAAGTGCTTCAGAGGGAATTGATACAAGCCACTGTCAGAAGGCACTATGCTGGGCTAGATGGACCATTGATCTGACCCTGTATGGCCATTTTTACACTCTTAATGGGTAGGACAGAGGACACAATCTTGGGTCCAAGAGTCAGCTATCACTAAAGTCAGAATTTAAAGTGAGAATTTATTGCCAAGGAACAAATAAAATGGTATGCAAATCAATGTAATACCAGTTATGATCCATTTTGCTAAGACACTGCAGGGACTTCCTCCCCTTCTTAAGGACAAACCATACTTGGAACTTTCAACAAATATAAAAAGGAAATCTCAGGACCGGAACTGCTGTGTTCTAAGAAAATAGTATTCTTAAAGACAGTCAGGGAAGCATGGTTCTCTTTCATTTGAGGATTTTGGATTGGCAAAGAAGTAGGGAATGTGACTGTCCTGATCCCAATGGTGTTGAGAATCCACTTTAGGTTTAAAAAGACGGTAACATTTTAAGTGTGGCTTTCACCAGGACAAAGTATAACAGGAAACAAGCAAGACTGAGCAGCCAGCTTACCCACACTATGAGCTAAAGTTCTGACCATAAGGAACACCATTTCAATTTGGAGTTCTACGCTATCCTGAAAAGCATCTATTATTATTCAATAGATTTGTTCTGTGAATTTAGAGACATACTGATGTCAGTGACAGAGAAGTTTTTTTTTAAAATTTTAGCCCTTTTAACACTAGAACAGCAAAGATTGAGTGAGCAATAGTCTATTCCCCCTTGTGCACTGACATATTTTTTGTTAAGTTCCAACCATCTAGTATACTTACTACTTGAATGTCCTGCAGCAGCTAGAATACTGCCTTGATCTGCTGCCATTTCTCCCAGTCTAAAAAAATTGGGGATGGAATAAAAAGTGCTCCATGGCTAGGTGCTTGAATTCTATTGCATAAATGCCAACAATTTGTAGTTATCAGGCACATAATGGCAGATCCTACCTCTCAGAAAAGGCGAGACTTGCTCATACCTGTTGTGTCAGGAATAGTCTTTAGTTCCCTTGGAATACTCATAATTCGTCTGAAATCCATGGAAATCAGTTTATGAAAACCTTTAAAACTTAGACTGGAAGCTGGACTTCGCTGAGGAGAGATAAAAGCTGTTGTAGTCTTTCTGAAAGTATCAGAAGCTTTATAATCTTATGAAATGAGGCCTACTGTTTTGCTTTATCCAGAGTCTCCCCCTAAAGATGCTTGTCTTCTAAGGCGGTGCTACTCAAAGTGGTGGTCCGCAGACCGGCCATCGGCTGCGGGTCTGCGCACACATTGGGGAAAAAAAACTGCCGGTCCCTCACATCATATAGCTTGAGAAGCACTGTTCTAAGGGTATGGCCATCAAGCTTCACTTGGCCTACATCATCAGACTGTTAGGACCTCAGGCACATCACCATTTTGCATAGCTTATTGGCTATAAGGAACAAAGATGATGAGAAGCAGTGCAGGCCTGCCAGCTTTAGGGTAATGTACAAGGGAGTCTTCAGGCTATTTTCTTTTGTCATGAAAGGGATAGCCAAACCACATAAGGTCAAGGACACTTACTTCACCTAGAGAAAGAATGAGGAGTACTTGTATCACCTTAGAGACTAACATAAGCTTTTGCGGGCTACAGCCCACTTCATCAGATGCATGCAGTGGCAAATACAGTCGGAAGAGAGACAGACAGAGAAAACATGAAAAAATGGGGATTGCCATACCAACTCTTATGAAACTAATCGATTAAGGTGGGCTATTATCAGCAGAAGAGAAAAAAAAACCTTTGTAGTGATAATCAGGATGGCCCATTTCAAACAGTTGACAAGAAGATGTGAGTAACCGTAGGGAGAAAAAGAAAAGGAGTACTTGTGGCACCTCAGAGACTAACAAATTTATTTGAGCATAAGCTTTTGTGAGCTACAGCTCACTTTATCGGATGCATACAGTGGAAAATACAGTAAGAAGATTTTATATATACAGAGAACATGAAACAATGGGTGTTACCATACATATTGTAACGAGAGTGATCAGGTAAGGTGAGCTATTACCAGCAGGAGAGCGGGGGCGGAGAGGGGACCTTTTGTAGTGATAACCAAGGTGGGCCATTTCCAGCAGTTGACAAGAACGTGTGAGGAACGGAGGGGGGGAGGAATAAACATGGGGAAATAGTTTTATTTTGTGTAATGACACATCCACTCCCGTCTTTATTCAAGCCTAATTTAATGGTGTCCAGTTTGCAAATTAATTCCAATTCAGCAGTCTCTCGTTGGAGTCTGGTTTTGAAGTTTTTTTGTTGTAATATTGCAATTTTTAGGTCTGTAATTGAGTGTACAGGGAGATTGAAGTGTTCTCCGATTGGTTTTTGAATGTTATAATTTTTGACATCTGATTTGTGTCCATTTATTCTTTTGCGTAGAGAGTGTCCGGTTTGGCCAATGTACATGGCAGAGGGGCATTGCTGGCACATGATGGCATATATCACATTGGCAGATGTGCAGGTGAACGAGCATCTGATAGTGTGGCTGATGTGATTAGGCCCTATGATGGTGTCCCCTGAATAGATATGTGGGCACAGTTGGTAACGGGCTTTGTTGCAACGATAGGTTCCTGGGTTAGTGTTTGTGTTGTGTGGCTGCTGGTGAGTATTTGCTTCAGGTTGGGGGGCTGTCTGTAAGCAAGGACTGGCCTGTTGCCCAAGATCTGGGAGAGTGATGGGTTGTCCTTCAGGATAGGTTGTAGATCCTTGATGATGCACTGGAGAGGTTTTGGGGGCTGAAGGTGATGGCTAGTGGCGTTCTGTTTTCTTTGTTGGGCCTGTCCTGTAACACTAGCCCATGAAAGCTTATGCTCAAATTTGTTAGTCTCTAAGGTGCCACAAGCACTCCTCATTCTTTTTGCTGATACAGACTAACACTGCTACCACTCTGAAACCTTTCACCTGGAGAGTTATTCTTGGTGTCCTTGCTGTCTCTGCTGGTAACAGCAGCTGCTGGGCTGCTTTCTCCCTGCCTTTTTTAAAAAAAGGCCCTTTGATGTGACACACTATGTGAGGGGAAAGACCAGTCTTTTATAGGTGTTGTGGCTCAGGCACATAAATTCTCATTAGAAACTGACAGAGTCGAATAAAGGAGGAATTTGTCATCCAGCGAAGATTCAAGCAATTTTTTCT